AAACAAATGATCAAATGGTTTTGCTTCTGGAATGTTGCCTTCTGTTATAACATTTCTTACTTGGTTCATTTCTAGCCTTTCTCCCATCTGATGCCTCTGCAAAGCAGAACTGTTATAGGAATATTCTGTCATCCAGGGCTACCAGCTTCATCCAGGATTTTTTTATTATTATTATTCTTACTTTCCTGAAGGATTGTCAAAGAGTATAGCATGACTACACCATCCAAAGTCATCTGAATTTTCTTCTCTTCTTTCTTTTGCTAAGCAATTACTTAACTCCCCCTTTGTTGGCGTCTTGAGGAATATGCTGGTACTTGGTAGAAGGAGGAGCCAGAAGATGGGTTTCCATCTAAGAGGTAGTAGGACTTCTTTCCTTCCTTCTTAGTTTAAGGTTTTGTGCCTGTTACCTCATCTTCCCAGTAAGCTTTGAGGTTTACCCACCTTTATCTGGGAAAGATAGTTTAAATGTGTTTTTATTACAGAAAAGTACACTGACAGAAAAGGGATACTCCAGTTTTAATGACTGTCATTCAATCAAGTCACCTCTCACTCAACCTTCTCAATCCTAGGATGTTAACATTAATGCCAGTTAAATATTAGATTCACATTTTAGTTACTAGAGTATCTGACTTGAATCACATTTGTGACCAAAAAAAAAAAAAAAAAAAAAAAGACCTTTAAGTTTGTCTATGTGTGCTTTATTTTATTTATACTGCTGCCTAGTCTTGGTACGATTCATGAGGCCTGGTAAAAGGTTTGAAATAAAAGTTAGTGTCTGTTGCTGCAGCATTCAGAATGCTGCTATCTCTCCTCTATCCCTCTGTTCTACACCCAGTCACTGGCTCAGGAAACCACCTCTCATTCTCCAGACTTGTCTGTTGGCATATGAAGTCTTAACGGTGACCCACTTGTTTGTATAATTTTCAGGTAATTATAAGTCAAGTAAACCACAGGCATGCCTCACTGTGTGGTCCAAAGCAGCTGGACTAGGCAATATTTGCCTCATGGTAAAGCTGTGTACAGAGTTACATCAAAACCACACATGCCATTCAGTGAAATCATTTCCCTGCCAGTGACTTCCCAGGGTTAAACAGAGGGAAAGAACAATTTAAACACTTGTGGAAGATTTCTTTCTAAAATCCTCCCAAACGGGTGATATATTTTATCATCTGGGGTCAGAACACTTTCAAAACAGCTTTAAGTAGCTAACAAAATTCCCAGGTGTAAGTAGCGTTTTCTCTAAGAAAGACAGCAGATGCTACATGATCCCTGTTGCTCACGTCCAATGCAGCCACCACGTGACTAACCTGGAGTAAAGATGGAAGGGCCCATTTACATTGAATACAAAATTTCATTGCAGAATTCTTTCTAACACCCTGGCCTGATTGGGTCCTGTTATTATAGGAGAGAGAGGCCTGCTTTGTTCACCAAAGCCACAACCTAAGACCCTTCAGGATGTCCTTTAGGGAGTCTCTTAAATAAGCTGGAGAATGGCTGTGTGTGCTGTAGACTGGCTAAACAGACCTCTTCTGTATGTCAGCCTTTGAACTGACCACAGGAATGGAACTTTGTAAGGAGTATGGTTTTTTTCCTCCCGCCACCGCTGGTCTTGTCCTGGCGCACCAGCCCCAAATAACACACAGAGACTCTGTACTAGATATTATACTGTTGGCCAGTTACTAGTTTCTTTTCGGCTAGCTCTGTCTTAATTATTAACCCATTTGTGTTAATCTATGTATTTCCACGTGGTCTTCTTACCGGGAGCCCGCTGCTGCATACTGCTCTCTCCAGACGCTGCATCTTGACTCCTCCTTACTACTTCCTATTTCCTCCTTGTCTCCTAGTCCCTCCTATCTTCCTTTCCTATTGGCCAACAGTGTTTTATTATTAACCAGTATGAGAAACATATATACATAATGGCATCTCCCATCAGAACTTTGATGTTAGTGCAGTCAGAATTGATAGTATTGATATGTTATCAAGAGAAAATGGACTGTGTTAAAACTTAGATTGTTTTTAAAACACACTATAAGAACACCAAGATTGAAGTCTTATTAGTCTTATTTAACATGCAAGACAATATATTTCTCAGGTTGTTTGACAGCCCTGAAAATAAATCTGTGACATCGATGTCAATCCATTGGCTGTACACAAGGCATACAACCGTACAGTTCCTTTCCCACTGGTTTATTTTCAATGTTACTAAAGCCCCTTCACCACTGAATTCCAAACGCAGTCAGGAACACACTGTCAGGACTGTGAGCCTAAGGGAGGCAAGCACTAGGCATCCATCACCCCCTGGTGGGAAGTAGTCTTTATCACATGTCACACTCCTCTACAGACTGCAGGAGAGTGATCGATCGGTCAGTCCAAATGGATTCACCTGTCATGTCTGTGTCACCTATATTTACATGCTGTAACCTGATGCATATTCATGTCTACAAACCATACTTGAAAGAAAGCTAATGACATCAACTTCTGTTGACGTTAAACAACAGGACATCTTGTAAAGATTCCAGAGGTTTCTCTGTACCCTGTTTGTTCTCTGCAGAATCTGTGTGCTGGGCATGTCCCTTCAACTTGCTTACCATATGACCCTTCTAGTTTGTAAGAGAAGTCAGTGGGGTAAATATTTTGTTCTTTCATTCAGACCAAAGTGTAGCTTGGGTCTTTTTGTTTGTTTGTTTGGTTGGTTGGTTGGTTGTTTTTTGTTTTTTGGGGGGGGTTGTTTGTTTTTTTGGGGGGAGTTGTTTTGTTCCCACCCCTCCCCCATCCTCAAATAATTTCATTACATACATTTTTAAAAACCAAAACTCTCGGTTGAGGATATTTGCTCTTCTGAAGCCTGCCCTTTGTTCTTCCTAGGTTTCATTCTTTTATGTTATCTGGCATCGCGGGGATATCAATCCAACTCATAGTTATTTGCTTCCCGTTTAGCCACAAGGTATAAATTTGCTAACTGTAAAGGCGTGCTCTGGCAGTAGTCTCCATGTACATCCAAAGGCTAAGCTATCTGCACTGGAAAATTTCCCCAGAGGGTTACTCTGTAGAATGTGGAACCATTTGTTGAGCTGTCTGATGTGGAAGAACAAAGCACCTGCCTAAGAGAAATGGGCTCACGGGGTGCCTTTCTGAGCAGAGAGAGAAATCAAAGGACAACTTCCAGTCCACTTCCATTTCCAAGCTTGCTGTTGCCAAATAGGGCATCAGAGATAGTTTCTTGTAGCACTTTTCAAGACATCACTAAGAGATGTCCCCTCCCAAGAAAAGAGCTTATAGAAAATATACCCATAGGCTGTGCGGGGAAATTACCACCAACCCAGAACCTGACACACACAAGTTCTACGTGAATCTGTGACAATGTTTGGAGACAGAGGGAGTATACACCGCATTGATTCCAAGGTCCAAAAAGGCATTTCAACAAAATTAAAGATCATTAAATATTTAATTGAATATCTGTGAAATATTTAGTATCAACTTTATTAAGTAACAAATTTATTAGTGTTAAAAATTATGTCACACGGAGCTCAGCTGTTTTAGAGTACTGGTTGTTCTTCCAGAGGACCCCAGTTCAGTCCCCAGCACCCACAGTGTGACTCACAATTGTGTATAACTTCAGTCCCAGGGGACCCCCATGCCCATGTCTGAGGGCACCAGGCATGTGCATAATACACAGACATACATGCATACAAAACATTCACACACATTAAATATATTTTTAAATGCTCAAGAATTATCTTGTTACATCACACATGGCAGCAAACTGCGGATTCAATTTCTTACTTTCCAAGATTTTGAGCACACCATTCATAAGTGGTGCATAGCCAGCCATTTCTGTTTCAAAGGATCCTCTCCATCTTTCCCACAGGGGAGCACATTACATTTGGAATATGAAAGTGCACCATTCTTTGTATGATGTGTGTGGTGGCACTTAAAACTTTAGAGCATGCCACTGGAGAAGATTCCTTTTAGACAGCACTGCTCCTCCTCTTCACATACAGGTACTACCACAGATTCATGTCTGCTCGGGCTCCATAAGGAGGACCAGCAGCGGTTGCCCAGAGGAGGGAGGTTGAGGTTCTGTTTTGTTCTTGCTGTAACCACCCATGGTTGGAGTACAATGACAGGGACAGTGGAGCATGTGGCACCTACAAAGCACCTGTACACCACTGGAAAGGCCCCAGAATGGCCCCCACTCTATATAAGAAGGAAATCATCTTTGAGATGGAGAAGCAAAGCCATCCAGTTGGGTCACACCAATGCAATCCCAGTGTCCCTTTGTCTTGTGTTCTTTCCAGGTAGATGACCTGACCTTCCTGTGCCCTCTGTTCTATTCAATATTTCCTACCTGAGCAGAGATTTCTGTTATAGAATAGGACCTGTAAAATGTTGGGGACAGGGAGAGCAGTAGATTGTCCAGGCTCCATGTGTGATAATTCTGGTCTTTAATCCAGTGACCTAACTTCTTCAGGTATTATTTCATTCACCATATGTGGAGCAATAGATATAAACTCTCTCCAAAACATGAAAAGTGACATTTCCTTGTAATCCCATCACCCAACAATAACCATTCATGACACTAGTTCTTGCAGAGCCTTTTCCTTTACACACAGTGAGATATTACTGACTTGCCTTTCTTAAAGCAAGATAATAAATATGGTTTGAAAAATATTTTGCACTCCATGTATTTCCATTTCAGTATGTGGGAATTCATCTCATGTATTTTAATGATTTCATGGCATTGCACTACATGGCTGGGCTATAGTTCATTTCACTGCCTTTTATTACTAGACATCAGAGTTGGAAATTCAAGTTTGACTTTTCAAGGGAATGGGACATTTATCAAAAAGAAAAATTAACTGTGTACCCTTACTTTGACTTGAATCATACCAGAAGTAGAAATAAGCCTCTCTATATTGGTGATTGTTATTAAATGTAATGCCTGTGTGGGATTTGTTATTTACTGCTTTGTCTTTTGCTTTTGCCTTTTCCTTATGCAGTCATCTGCAGCAGGGGACAAGGAAGAGCCGGCTTTACCGGTAGGGAGCAGTGGCCCTGCTTATTCTTGTGCCTGTGGAGAGTGTGTGACAGGAGTGGGAAGGGAGCTCTGTACTTGCAAATCTTCCTCTCCCTTGGAATATTTGTGATTTGATCCACTGGAGGGGATATTTCTGTTCTACGATTAGTAACAATTGAACTCTGGCATTCACTCATAAATTATTTCTGGTCTTACGTTCCAAAATCTTGACTTCTTTCTTCCAGTGGACATGAACTTTTATAAGTGTTGGAGGGGTAAGAAATGTCTAAATTACATTCCAAGGGATGCTGGCTGATATGTGGGGACAGTGTGGGATCTAATGCTTGAGAAATGTTTTCTCTATGTGTCTGCATGCACACACACCCCCCTTTGAAATGCTGCATGAGATGTAAAGATTCAGTACATCTAACACTGCCTGAAAGAATGCTCAGTGTCTTCCACAGACATAATTCATGTCTAAAGAAGATACACACAACAGAGTTTTTGTGGTTTCCCAAACTAACAGCCATAGTAGCAGTGGTTATTGTGACAAATTACTAGCAACGACCACATTTGCAGTTGCTCTCCAATTAACACATGACATTTCATATTGTGCTGCCTGGCAAGGAAATGACCTTGTGAGTTTTTGTGTTCAACAAACAGTTATTACATTTCCACTGGATTTCAGTCTGCTACCTTTGCCCCTAGAATAATTTGAACCTTGCTGGTCTGAATCTCCTATAACTAAATGCCACAGTGCATTTGAAAATGTTACAGGCTTTTAAGGATGAAAGGGATAGCCCTGACAATGTTTGTGACCCTGTAATCATTCCTTCCATTAACACTCAGAGCAAAGACATGACATTCACTGAGTGCCCAGAGAATACACTAGACTCAAGACTAAGGTACAGCTCAAACGCCAAACTGCCTTTGAAGAACTCAAAATGGTGTTCATCACCCAGACACTAGTATTCTCCTTCATTCATCTGTGAGCTCTGCTGGGTTGGGAATGCAGCTTTACTAAAATACAAATTATAATAAAATCACTGCTGATTTCTCCCTGTATTATATACTGAGGTTTTACCCATACTTCATTCCCATACTTGCAATATGTTTTAGGTTTACCACCAAATTTTTAAGTCATGAACCTTAATAAGAATTTTATGGAGTAAGAGGTGTAAAGTCAGTAACTTGGAACTATATTTCTTTTGTGTTACATTGGGTTGATGGCTGATGTAAGTATTCTAAAGACAAGTTATTCTAAGGATGAGTTATTCTAGAAGATATCACCCTGTCCAAATGTGTTTAATTATAGAGTCTCATGGAATATCTGTGATGGAGAATTTTTGAAGACTTGGTGAAAATGGGGTTTTAATTTTGCCAAACTACAAAAAAAAATTCTTGTCAAGTTTTTGGACCAAGAGTTCAATTTTTTAAAAAAGATCTAAATCAGGCATGGTGGCATATGCCTTTAATTCCAGCACTCAGGAGGAAGAAGCAGACATATCTCTGTGAGTTAAAGGCTAACCTGATCTACATAGGGAGTTCTAAGACAGCCAGGTTTTCACAGAGAAACCCTGACTCAAAACATAAAACAAACTAAAAAAGAAATTAATCTACTTAGAGCAGGTCTCCTCCTCAAGTCTGTCTCTAAGTCCGCTGTGCCCACCACCACAAAGTCAACCACAGAGAAGAATGTGATGTCAGGATTAAAAAGCTGTCCAAATAAAGGGGGTTTGGGTGGCTTTGGTTTGATTTAAGACTACTGTTTTCTTTTGAAGACAAAAATAAAAGTTTGTTGGTAACCCCATTTCCTCAAGCTCAGTAGGGTCTTCATATCTCAGTTCCAGCTATTGGAGTAAAAGATCATCACATCTAGAAGGACTCAGTGCCAGGATGGCTCTATATGAAGTCACTACAGGAAACTCCCCTTCAGGTTCTCACTTAACATGGACCATAGAACTTTCTGGATCAAAGGCTTGAAACAGGAACCATAGAAGATGTATATATAAGATGATGTGGATGTAGGCATATCTGTTCACATAGACACAGATATAGACAAAGATCTTGCTGATAGGATACACAATCCAAAAATTTTAAAGACTGCCTGCTAGGTTATGAAGAATCTTTAAGAAAAAGCAAGCCTGGAATCCACACCTCTATCCAACACTCTCTATTTGTGTGACCCAGAACCTTACTTCACTTGTCACAGTCTTCAAGTTAATACTAACAATGTCGATCCCACGAGGGATTCACTCATTACTTAATGAGTGAATGATGTGAAGCATGCCACACATTGCCTGCCTTGTACTAACCTCTTTTGTTAAAAGGGCATAGGGGGTGGGCAAAATGGATTCATTTAGTACAAAAGCCATGTCCTTGGGACATTTGAAAGGTACTTTGAAATCCTTTGGTTCAACTCTATGTGACTGAGTAATGGAAATGAGTGATCATAGCTGGGTGAGGCTACTCTCTGTGATGCACTTGACATTCATTTCTGAGAACTAACAGCATCTTTGGTTTCTCTGCTCAGGCTAAGCCGCGCCTCCAGCGTGGTGGAAGTTCTGCCTCCCTCCACAACAGTCTCATGAGGAATAGCATCTTCCAGCTCATGATACACACCCTTGACCCACTCGCCGAAGGTAACCATCAGGCTTTGGGATCGTTGTTTTGGGAAGAAGACGTCAAATACTTTGCTTTAAAAGAAAAAAAAAGCATATGTATGGTGAGGTTATGCACACCTGTCATCATTAGTTGAAACATTGACTCTGCCATGTGCTTTATAAATTACTACTCAGTTCCTGGCAGGGTGGTTTTATGCCTGGAGTAGAATATGAGTTCCATGTACTGATCCTGTCTTTTGATGCCTCTGGCATAAACACAGTTTGTTCTGAGGCAGGGACAGAAAGGTCTCCCCCCACTTCCCGTCTAGTATTTCCCTTTATCACTTTCAAAACAAAATTGTTTGTGGAAATAAATTGTGTACCTTAAAGAGAACAGGGAAAAAGAACTCTATTCCTGGGAAGGGTTATGAGTGATTTAAGGAATGATGTTCTCTGAAGACCAGTGATATGCATGGTACTATTTCTTTGGCAGGTGGGTAGGGGTAGCATCTAAGCATTCAAAGAGACTAATAGAACTCCTTGGGACCAATCATTGGAGACCTCCCAAGGCAATTGTAAGAACTATCATGAAGAATCCAGTATAATGTCCTTCCAGCTTTACTTAGTCACTAAGCCAAATCTATCTTTTTTCTTCCATTGCATAGCTGTCCTAAATGTGATTCTTGTAGTAATCTGCTATAAATAAAATAAGGACCCATGAGCAAGGGGTTCAGACAAGTCTATCTTTCTACTCCTGAACCCTATCATCCTTCCCAAGGAAGCTAATAGAGACTGGGGACGAGTAGACTAAGAAGTAGGCATATGTCACTGAACAGACAGGGGAGATCTGATTGTGGGTCATGTTGCATACGTCAGATGTCTTACCAAAAGTCGACCTCTATCAAGGTCTTTCCAAGCTAGAGGTACTCAAGACTTACATGGTATAAAGGACAACTGGGGATCAAAAACCAGCTCCACAGACTCTGTCTGTCCATTGGACACAAGCCTCTCCTTAGAATAATAAGTGAAGACCACAAGTCATATCCCACTTCAAAACACAGAGCATTTCAGTTACAAAGCACCCATTCTACCCCTAGAACAGAGTTGTCATGATGCTTCCCAAGAAACCATGCTTCCCACTCCTGGTTTTAACTGAAGGAAGTGATCACTGTTGGAGATACCATCACTCTGTTCATCCAGTGGTCCAGTTGATAATCTCTTATTATTAGCTACAACCACCATCCTTCCTTTCTTACATCCCCAACAAAAGGAGAGAAGGAATTATTTTCTCTTACTCCTACCTCCTGCCACTGTGCAACCATGTGACTTTGGGAAAGTTAGGGTCTCTCTCTAGAATCTGCTGGCTTCTTCATCTCTCATAGCACTTTTCTTTATTGGACTTTTTACAGTTGACAGCATTTTCATGCTTGCGAGTTTATGATCCGCCACAACACTGCATTATTCTTTGTCCATGGAGTATTGTATGACCAACAGAGATCCCAGATGTGCCTACTGCTCACCCTTTGCCATCATGTTCTTTCGGTCATCTTCTTGCTTCCTCTGCAGCTTTAGAGCTTGTTGTCTTGCATAGCTTCCACCTGTTTCCCACACAGCAGCCGAGGTCATCTTTAAAAGCCAACCGGGTTATGTAACCACCTACTTAACAACCTTCAATGGCTTACTAGGGTTCTTAGGGAAACTGTGAAACCCTCACCACAGTCACCAGGATATGTTTCACATTGCAAACTCGGTTGGACTTGCTTTGTTTAGGCATGTGGGGTCCCATATTCAGATAGTTGCTCTCACCGTCTTAGCTGTTTGTACCACCAGAACGTTCTTTCTTCTCTCCACCCTTCTCCCACCTTCCCTTACTGGCCGCCCCTCAGCCCTCTGACCATCCAGCACAAATCAGGGCCTTTGATGCTCACCGGTGCTTGCTCCCCTTCCGCTTTCCATACAGCACCCATTGCAGTCCCTGTGGTTGTTTCCCAATGGCCACATGGGTGCTGTGTCCCAGCAGTTGTTCCCAAATCCTAGCAGAGCACCCAGCACATCATGGCTACTAAGGCTCAGTTCTAAAGCCTCCTGAAAGCCAATTCAGGCTTGAGGCTCTCAAGGCATTGATCATGGGTTATTTTGGGACACCATCTACCCCTAATGTCCTTGAGAATCAACTGAGAAAAGAACCGTTGTTTCTGTCCCACTCTGTCATGGCAGTTGCTGAGGAAATTTGAGTTCAGAAAAGGCAATATTATATGGTAAACAGGAAAGGCTCCAGGTCTAGACATTCTGACTCTGGATCCCACATCTGCATTTACTAGCTATGTGACCTTGCACAACTGTCCCTACCTGTCCCTACCTCAGTTTCTTCATCTTCACAATCAGAATGACCATGATGTTGGCACTGTGGTGCTGTATAAGGATTGAAGGCGTGAGTAAACAGAGAATGCAGTCAGTGTGCTCATCAGTTTGTGGTGGTCCACATACATTATTGTGATGAGCTAGGATGTAGTATAGTGTGTGGGGTAGGGGGATTCTAGCTTTGAGGTGTTCAAAAGGTTGTTGTGAAAACAAGCTTTCCTCCTCTACCAACTGTTCACCCCAGTTTTCTCCAGTTCCCCAATTTTCCCTCAAAGAAAGCGTTGGTATCAGGTTCTTGAGGCTCCTTTCAGAGAAATTCTATCTTAAGTAAATGTGTGTGTGTGTGTGTGTGTGTATGTTGTGTGTCTGTGTGTGTGTTGTGTATGCTGTGTGTGTTGTCTATGTATATTGTGTGTGTTGTATCTGTATGCTGTATGCCTGTGTGTTTTGTGTGTGTTGTATGTCTGTGTGTTGTATGACTGTGTGTTTTATGTGTGTGTTGTATCTGTGTGTTGTATATCTCTGTGTTGTGTGTGTTTGTGACTATCTGTGTTGTATATGTGTATCTGTGTGTGCGCTGAGTGTATCTATGTGTATGTTTGTGTGTGTTCTGTGTGTGTGTTGTGCATATGTGTGGTATGTGTAAGTGTGTGTGTCTATGGTGTGTGTATAGTGTGTATGTGTGTGTGCACCGTGTGTGACTTTATCCACAGATCTGAGCAGTCTAAGTGTCTCTTTAGCTGGGAGGATTCGGTTTCTAAAAGTGCTTGTTTTTGTTTTTCTGCTGGGAGGGGAGGCTGTGTTTTGTTTCTGTGAGATAAGGAGAAGTGAATCTGGGCTGTCTCAGAGTTGGGCCATCAGTGATTTTCCAAAACACCTGGTCCTTGTGGAGCTAAGCTGCAATTAAGCTGTTTGCTCCTGCTGCTGTAGCAAGAGGCGCTTTCTGAATCTGGGCACCAGCTTTCAAGGTGAAACCTCTCCCTGAAAGACGAGGGCTCCAAGAGCATGAATCTGAGAGATAATCAGTTCTGGGCTTGAGTGACTGAAAAATATGGAAAGCACTTTGATGCTTTAAAATTGCCCCATAGCACAAAGCCAAGAAAACAGCTTGCTCTGATACCCCGCCCCCCAAAAAAAATCACAATCACTTTCCATTTCAAGAGCAGCCCAAAACTTAACCCACTGCTTCCCCGGAAACAGTCACCTCTTTTAGTATAGGTTTCATCACTTGACTTCACGTGTCCTTGTGCCAAGTTACAACCTTTCAAGAATATAAAACATGCTGGTTCCATCCCCAGGCTGACCCCATGAGCACTGTACAGCTTCCATATGCAGACAGTTCTCAGAGCTCCTGGCACTCACTGAGCTGAGGGGCACATTGACACCACTGCTGTGCATCCATGGTTCACATTAGGGAAGGGCTCAGTTTCATTGAAAACATGTAGAACAGATGGCCTGTAGGAACATATTTCCTGGAGTCTCATCTGTGCCACACAGGTGGGTTGACTGAGCCATGGCTAACATCCTCAGTCAGCATCTGGTTTAGCCTCTGGACCTGAGTCCCACAATCCAACTGTGTGTGTATCCACCATCCATTGATAAAATCACAAAGCACCCAAGACCCAGAGCTTGACTTTATGATGGGAATTTGGTTTGGAATCAGCTGGGTGATTATCCTGTTCCATACAGTATCAATAGAAGTTATTTAGCATATCTATCTTCCCAACAAATAGGGCCTCCCTCACATGTAATCATTTAGAGAAAGATCTCTGACTCTCCATGTTGTCTTGGTCTTGTGCCCATAGCCAGATGTCCCACTTAATGGCTAAGTGTTCCAGCAGTAGACCTTCTAGGAAGTTCCAGCCTTGGAAGTCCCCAAACCTCTCTTCCACTACATCCCTCCATCAGGCATCACAAAAAATGGCCCAGACCACAACGAAGGATATGTGTCTCTGCTTCTCAGGAGAGCCATATCAGAAAGCTTGAAACCATCTTTTAATTTAACACAGACTGTTGTATTCACCTGTTTGTGATTGTTTGGTGTGCCAGAAGCAATCCACACTTGGTGGATGGACAATCCATAGTCAGTCTACCAAACAAAACTGACCTGAGTCTTTTCAGGAACACAAAACTATGAGCATGTGTTATTCATTCATAAATACAAAGTCTCAGACTCAGCCTAAGGCTCTTAAGGTGGTTGAAAAAGACCAATACATGAGCATTGCTGCTAGTTTCAGGCCAATCTGGGCTACAAAGTAAGACCCAGTATCAAAAACCAAAAAGAGAGCAGAAGAGAAAGAGAGAAAAATGACTGAAATACAGTTTGTTTTCCTTTATAGAACAGTCCTGGAAAACCAGAATTCTCAGCCTTTGAGATTATACCATGCCTGTCTGAACTAATCCTTCTCATAAACTCACTGCTGTATATTGATTTTAACATTTTTTTCTAAATAAGCTACCTTTATTAACCTAAAATATGAGGTGCTAGGGGGAGTGTTTTGAAGTGGGAAGCACCCTCTGCTTTGGATGGATGTGAAAAGAAACACATATTTGCAGGGAGCTCACTGTAGACCAGGCTATGAACTCTGTGTAAAGCAGGCTCACCCTCTCCTGGACCCACTCCATCGTGCAGAGGACACAGTCATCGAAAAGAAGCCAAGTGTTGCCTAAAGATGACA